TTTGTGTTGTTTCTTGTCATTCTTGGTGCAGCGCTACCACAGGCGAGCGGGGGAACAGGTTGGTTTTAAAAGGTTGGCTTGACTGCACAGTGCAGTGTGAATGCAATCGCACCAGTTCAAATGTAAACAAAATGTCATGAATATTGGTCCCCAGCTGAACCCAGCCTACCAGACTATCTGGTGTGAAAACGACCTTAATTCAAACAGAGCCAGTACTAAACAGCAAAACCACCACTACCGCTGGAGCGGTTGGTCAAAAAGTAACAAAAATACCTTAAAATAGTTCAAATAAATTCAGCCAAAGATGTCCTTTAATTACTAAAGGTATGGTCTTTTATTTGGCTTACTTATTGAGTACCATTCTTAGCATATTAAATAAATATATGGTTGGGAAGATCATATTGACCAGGGTAAAATGCTAGCCAAATCAGCCGTTAGCTCTATGGAGTCTTGCATTATAAGTGCTGTGATTTTTGCTGCAGCGTTTAAACAGCTACTAACACGCCCAACAGTATTTTAAAACAAAAAGGCAACTCACCATTGAGTAGATAATTGAATACTTTCAAATTTTTCTGATTGTAGATCTTGCCAAAGTTGTAGCAACAACAGCAGAGTCGTACACAGCCACAGTGAGCAGCAGCCTTGACACAGCAAGCAAGGGGTGACCTAGTCCGGTGTTCTGTCGGGTCCAGACAGAACCATCACTCAGTCTGAATCCGGACTGACCAAGTGACCTCTGGCTTAAAGCGTACCTGCAGCCTGACTGGTTGTGAGTGTCATTGCAGCACAATCTGTTCCCGGACAAAAATAATTTAAATTTATTTTTATTTTTTTTATCTGGTCCGGGACAAAAATAATTAAAATTTTTATTTTTATCTGTTCCGGGACCGGAAGCACACGATCGGTACTGATCGGTACAGCTTGCATTCGACGTGCCCCTGGGCACCGATATCTGCGCCCAGAATCTTCCTATCTCTTGTAGCGTAGTGGAATAACTGCGCATGTGCAATTTTTAACGAGAGTCTGTGGATTACATTCTTGCACCCCCAGGGCTGGAAATACACCACTAATCAGACAATGTTTTTGAAAGAAACAACTTAACTCAGCATTAAATATGAAATATTTATATTACACAACTAAAAAAATACATATATTTCAAAATATTTTTATTTTATTATTTCGATTTTATTAAATTTTTAAAATCTTCATTGTAAAATAGGGCAGCACGGTGGCGCAACCGGTAGAGCTGCTGCCTCTCAGCGAGCAGGTCCTTGGTTCAAACCCCGGCCCAGGGGCCTTTCTGGGTGGAGTTTGCATGTTCTCTCCGTGCATGCGTGGGTTTTCTCCGGGTGCTCCGGTTTCCTCCCACAGACCAAAAACATGCATGTTAGGCTGATTGGTAACTCTAAATTGTCCCTAGGTGTGAGTGAGAGAGTGAATGGTTGTTTGTCTCGTTTGTCTCTACGTGGCCCTGTGATGAACTTGCAACCCGTCCAGGGTGTACCCCGCCCCTCGCACAGTGATTGCTGGACATGGGCACTGGCGACCCCCGTGACCCAAAATGGAATAAGCGGGTAAAGATAATGGATGGATGGATGGATTGTAAAATGGTGAGCGGTTTCAGTGGGTGGGCAGCGCTCAAGCGCCCCCTACGGACGAGCCACCACTGGTTAGTAGGAGAGATTATATTTCTCCAGTTTTAGCTTCTCTCCATTGGCTCCGTGTCAAGTCCAGAACTGAATTCAAAATCTTACTTCTAACCTACAAAGCTCTCAACAACCTAGTTCCATCTTATATTTGAAAACTTATTGTTTCATATTTTCCTAACAGAGCACTTCAGTCTCAGACTGAAGGCTTACTCGTGCTCCCTAGAGTTTTCAAAAGCAGAATGGGAGGAAGATCTTTCAGTTATCAGGCTCCTCTCTTGTGGAACCAACTTCCAGTTTCTGTCCATGAGGCTGACACATTGGCCAGTTTTAAGACTGGGCTCAAGACTTTCCTTTTTGATAAATCGTATAATTAGAGTTGGCTTGTTATGCTGCTTTAAACTTAGACTACTAGAGGATAAATTGACCTCATTTCCTTAAATGAATTGTTAAAATTGAATAAATTTAATATGATACTATTTCTATCTTAACATGTGATTCCTGACCTGCCATTGTGTATCCGTTCCTACCAAACTCAGCTGGTTGAAGCAGATGGACGCTTGTCCTGAGCCTGGTTCTGCTAAAGGTTTCTTCCTCATGAGGGAGTTTCTCCTTCCCACTGTCACCTTCATATTTGCTCAAGGTGAGAGTTCTGTGACGGAATTTAATTCAAAACAGTCTGCTCCTCAGATAAATAATGTTAAATTATTATTTTTACATATGAATGTTTCTGTTTAGTGCCATGAGATGACTTCTGTTGTGACTTGGCGCTATATATACATGAAACTGAATTGAACACACAGACTTTCTTTGAGAAGCCCTGAAGAATACACTGCACTGAGGAAAAACTGCGTATTTGTAAGTAAACTGTCAAAGTTATAAGGAAAAAAGGAAGTTTTATGTATTTCAGTGTTCTACTTATGTTGTTCTGGTTGAAAAAATGAATTTAATGCTATTATTAAAAGCAATATATAAACTTTAATTATTTGTCTTGTTACGCCCCAAGGGCCAGAAACTTAGTGGAGACACTGGGCTCATCATGACTTGCTTAAAAAGATTGAAATTCAGATTGTATTTATTGTAAATGCTAAACTGGAGCTCAAATACATTATGGAAAACACAAGATTTCAGCTAAATGACCATAAAACTGAATGAATCTGGCTATGACAAAACACCTTCCTGTTTTCTTGTTAGAATGAAATCTCGTTAAAAAAAAAAGTTTAACTGTTAAAAAAAAAAGAAACTGCTTCTTTTCAGCCTTTCTTATTAAACTTTTATGTGACAGCAAATCTGCAAATAAAATATGTGTGCAGGATGGCTATTTGTCCAGCAGATGGCGGTGTTGTTTGCACTCTGTGCCTTTGGTTACTCTGCAGGGACCTAAAATTATAGAAATAAAAGAATAAAGCTGCTCAGCAAAACGTCACAACATATTTTAATTTTCAACAGCTATTTATTTTTGATGAGTAAACTCTCGAGATCCGTGTCCTCTGAGGAGGACCAGCATGAGGAAATCCTCTGCAGCGTGAGATGATGAAAGCGGATGTTCCCCACGTGCTGCATTAGTCATCTCACTGCAGTGCAGGGATTTCCCACATTACATCTCTGCACGCGTCCTGCCTCACGTACACACAGTCTGACGTGGTGAGACACTGAGGGAGGAGAGAGGAAGAGGAGGAGATTTTAGAGAAGCACCAGAACACATTAGTTTCATCATTCAATTACTGGAGAGGAAAACTTTTAAATAAGGCCTCTTAAAGGGATATTAGGACATTTTGAGGTTATGCACAATAAACATTTTACCTGTTGCTCTTGAATAGTTTCTGTTTGGAGAAACACAACTAGACAGGACCAATGAGATAGGATAGGTGTATAGGTGTAAGAAGTATCAGTAGCAGCTAGCTGTAGCACCTTCTATGCAGATAGGAACTTCCTGCAGGAGTCAACCTTTTAAATGATTATTCACATGATGTTGCCACTGACATATGTAATATGTAGTTACGTACTGCCATGGCCAAGATGTCCTGACAACGTACCTGTCAAGACCCCCTCCCCTCATGAGTGCATGTTCGCCCATCACAACACCTGCTGATCTTTGCCCGTTCTTCTTTGTCTCAGTGGGAAAGCAGAGGTGTGTGTCCAACAAACTTCAGTCAGGTCGTCTGGATGATTTCTTTGTTTTTTTTGTTGAAACGTTTTGTCCTTCATCCAAAGGACTTCATCAGTCCGAGGAGCCACAAACAAACTCAGTCCCACAAGCAGCACACTCCCATAGTGGACTAACCAGTTTTCTGGTGATAAGATGTTTTCTGGATCCCGTCGACTCCTCTGAGGCAGCCATAGCTAAAGTTGTTCAAAACATCAAAGTTCATGCTCAATAATCCAGGTAAAAAAAAAATCACTTTGGCTATGGCTGGGAGTTGTCTGGGGAGAGGGCGGGACCCAGAAACCATCTTATTACCAGCAAACTGGTTGGTCCACTAGGGAGTGTGCTGCTTGTGGGACTGAGTGTGTTTGTGGCTCCTCGGATTGATGAAGTCCTTTGTCTGAAGGATGAAACATCTCAACATGATGACCTGACTGAACTTTGTAGGATTTTTTTTTTTACCAGGATTATGGAGCATTAATTTTTTATGCAGAGGAGTGTGTGCTTGTTTAAATCTGAATAACACCATGACAAAAAAGAACAGCTCCCAACTGCCTGTGACTCACCGTTAAATTTAAAGAGTACTAAAGATTTTGGCTGTTCTTGAACATCACATCTTCAAGGACAAGAACTCCAGCTAGTTGCTGCTGCCAGTATCTTTAATTTTAAATGAGCATAGGTCCCTTGTGAATAATAAAGTAATGTAAAACTTTGGAGATTGATGAAGAAGGACTGTTTGTGACTTGGCTGTGTTCTAATCAGCCGTCAGCTTGTCACAAAGTTAAAGCTTGTAAATGTTACAGAACACCACTTCAAAATGTCTGAACTGCATTTTCACATATCTGCTCTGTGTGGTCCAGTCCCGCCACAGTCTGAGTCCCACATCCTTGGTTTTATCACAGTGAGTTGTAAACTCCAGCCGGTTTCCTGAGCCTGTCCTGTGGGATGTACCAAGTTGTGTGTTAACAGTGTGCCATCACTTATCTGTTCTTCTTTACGGTTATTAAATTGTATTTTATTAAAGAAACAGCGCGTGAGGCCTGCTGAGGAAGTAAAAACGAGGCTTGGTTCGTCCCCCTGGTTACCATGGCAGCCGCTGAGAGCTCGTGACTAGTCCCTCGTCCAGAATGGTTCACTCCAGTGGAGGAGGGTGTGACGTCACGTCGCTAGGGTAACCGGGCTAGTCACGTATAAAAATTAAAGCCCGCCCTGCAGTCTGCGCACACGCAGCGAACGAGCATCAGCGTTGAGGTAAGGCGGATTTAGCGTCTGTGTTCAGGCCTATAACGTCTAGGACTTCCCACAGGTTTATACACTGAGAGCTTACCGACGATATTGTTTTAAATCTTATTAATTCAGTGTAAAACTCGGCCAGTTTGTCCATGAAACAAAAGGTTGTTCGCGGCCGAAGTGGGCGTCGAATTTGATCTCCATCCCCCATTCAAGGTTAAACCTGCCGGAAGTAGAAAACAGAGACATAACATTACTGACTTTATCTTCTCTTATTTGGACCCGTTGGTAGAATACTTTTTAAGCTACAGGAAGAGAAATGAGAAGCGGTAATGGGAAGCTCGGTGTCTTCTCATGCTCAAATAAGGCTCTAAAATGAACAAATTTTAGAAATGCTCTCCGTAGGAAGAGGGACACTCGGTTTAATCTGTTCATTTGAAGCCGAACTGCGGATTAATTGAGCGGGAAACGACATCCTTTTTGCGGAAGTAGCTCAGAAAACTCCATATTGTTATCCTGGGGAAATGTAGACCTGCCATGTTAATAACCGTTAAAATATTCGGCAATAAATCGTTACGTGGATATCCCACAATGCTTTTCGGCATTCCTGCTCTTTTTTTTTTTTTTTTCATCGAGCTGTGATGAAGCTACGTGCTCTTCGTCATCATGTCTGACGGCGGTCAGAGACGAGCTGTTTTTATAATGGGAAGTAAAAGCACAAATGAGAGCCAAGTGCGAGCAGCAGGAACAAGAGCTCAGGAAGGACGAGAGGAAACCGTCCATGTTCTCGTGACTCGTCGAAGGGCAGAGATGTGGCGCAGTGGTGGCGCAGGATTCTGCCGCAGTTTGACTCGGCCGACCTGTTGATGCAATCAAGGCCTTGTTTTTATTTAAAAAAAAAAAAACTGGGCCACACTTACATCGAATATAACTGACGGAATGAAATGAGTTTAGGATATATTCAAACCTCTTCCATCTTGTGGCAGCTTCCAGCCTGGATGCAGCCATGTCTGGATGAAGGTCATCACTGCAGCTGATGAAGGGCGCTGCAGGCCCAGAGCTGCTCCCCTCATGATAATCAACGCTGCAACTTTAATCTCAATCTGAGTTTTAAATATTCAATGTGTATTTTACAGGCTGCAGACAGAAAACTCCACCTCAGGTAGCTGAAGGTCACATGGGGCTTTAGCTTCTCATTAGCAGCTGGAGCTGCTTCAGGGTAACCGGTTGTTTTTTGAGGTCCTGTGATGGTATTTAAATAATCAGTCATACATGTCTATATATAAAACATGCATGTATGTTCATTCCAACAATCAACTGAACATTATGACTGATCTGATGCTCACCTGCGCAGCCTGGTAGCCAATGAGGTTAGCTAGAGACTAGCAGAAACGCACATGGGCCATTATTCCTGCAGTGAGACCACACCTTTAGGAACAACCCTCACCAGCTTCTTGCTATGAAGATACTGTAACATTTTTATCAAGACAATTAAACCTTTTAAATTTCTGTGGTGCTTTGTTGGCCTTGGACCTGAAAATCAGATCAGATTGGTGAGCTGCATTGGGTACTTTTGCCACCATTTTGAGTAAAGACTCATTTACATACTTGACTCATTCATTCTTCCAGATGTGGTTGTGACTTATTTTGAAATTAAGTTTCCTTCAAAAAGTGGTGTGGATGGCTCAGTGCTGCAGTTGAGTCCACCTCTTACTCACTTCTAGACTAGTCATTATGAATAAGCAGTGCAGGGGGAACCACCCGCAGAATGACTCTGCACTCTGCATAATAGACTATATGCCACGGACTTCCGTTCTAGCACTTCCGCATTTTTCAGAAGGGCTGCGCACTTCCTGTTTGCTGTCAACACAGTGTTAGTGATGGCGTTTTTCACTCGATCACTGCAGGACTTGCCAACAATATCTGTTAATGATGTCTACAGAATTATTCAGACTTTCTCGAAAGCGCCCACATCTAAAAAGGACAAAGGATTCAAGCTTTATGTGTCCAACTACATAAATAAGTACGAAGGTAAGTCGGTATTTTTTTTTCAGTTCACCGAACTGCCTCATGCAGGCTACATCTAACACAGCTAACGTAGCTAACCTTGCTAAATTGTTGAGTAAATGTGTGTTGTCTGTACAATTTTTCTGATTAACCCAAATATTAGTTTCAAACAAGGAGGCAGGAGAAGTAACAGTTAGGGCTGAGTGTTTCCAGTCAATGAGGAAAAGCCAGAAGCCCCACTGTTTGAGTGTAAGTCAAAAGCACCCGACATGTTCTCTACAGGGCTGTGTTTTAAGAAGCTAGTAGGACTTTGATAATTACGGTTGTCTTTTTATAATAGCATTTACAGTTGGTACTTTTTGGTCTCTGAAATATTTGGTATTGTACACAGATGGTGCTGAGGGAATCAAAGCCGGTGGAGTTTCAGGGATGCCAGTGCACCTGTGTGGCAGGTACAGTCCTGTGCAGCCATGTGGCAGCTCTGCTTTTCCAGACGGCTCACTACTCCCAGTTGAAGCTTCCAGCTGTTCCTCCAGTCCTAAGCTGCACAGACACCGAACAGAAGTGGCATAAACCGAGGACAATGGTAACTACATATTGATGACTCTTTATTCCTGCTTATGAATTATAGTTCAATACTGTATTTACATCAATGTTGTTTTTGGATGCAGGGCATAAAACCTGGTCCAGTTAAGGACATGGTCGTCCTGTCAGCAAAACCAAGAGAGAGGAAAATCTTTGAAGGAATTAGGTTTGTTTTAATTTAAAGAACACAGACACATGCACAAACACACACACACATTTTTAAAAACTCATTAAATTTACTATCACAACACATGCACAAAAAGTGCATGTTTTGCTGTTTTATGTGCTTTATACATAAAATGTTATGGTATGGTACTTAAGCTTATGTTGTACTATGCCAGAGATAGGTTAAAAATGCAAATAAGTAACTAATAAAACTTCGTTTTTAAACAAGACAATAACTTTATTGCCTAAAATACAATAACATAGGCTTTATTTAGTATAAATTTCATCATTTGCCTATTAATGTCTTGTTTATGACAAATTTTTATTTTTCTCAACAGAAGCAACTTGTATAAAGGCACTACCAGCCCTCTTCCACTCATCTCGACCCTAAGGATACAGGATGTGTACCGGGGACTTCCAGCTGAAGAAGCGCCAATGATCACCACAATGGCTGTCTCCAACGATGTCCCTCTTGTTGACTCTTTGTTTGGTCCAGTACAAGAGGGAAGTGTTCTGTCATATCAGCTGCCAGCAAAGGTAGTTCCCAGGACCCGTCCACACCAACACGTCCTCTTACATAATGATTAGGGATGGTAGGCAGGCACTCAAACGTACACACCCATATTACTGGCAAATCCAGGGACAAATGCTAATTTCAGGGTGTGACTGGTGTGACTTTGTCATTTACACAGAAAATGACATGTTTATTGAGAGGGTTCCCCGTGACATGCAAGTACTGCAAACCATAAAACAAAAGGTTGACCATTTCTTTTTTTATTTTTACCTCAGCGCTTGCCTGGCAAATTAAAGGTAACATAGTCAAATTTTAACCTTTGCATATATGATTGAAAATACTGTTAATACTTGTGTCATGTTCCTTCCATTTATATTATTTTTAAGCAGTTAGATTTATGTATTTCTCTTTAAGGTCAGATACAATTTATTCTGTTTGAAATTAGCTATTAGGCTGTTATAATCATACCCTCTTTGTGAACTGTGTTTTTCTGTTTCAACAGTTTGCATTCACTAGATGAGTGGCATTTTTTGAAAAAAAAAATAAAATAAAATAATTTTTTTCATTTCAGTTTTATTAGTACTGTATTTCAATATCCCACTTGATGGCTTGACTTATATGAAAAATGTTATAAAAGAACTGATTTAATGGAAAAAGTTCAGAGAAATTGAAATATTTAGGACAGTGATTTAATTTTATTGTAAGTACAAAAAAACAAAATCAAACATAGATATACAGCATATTTTGTTGCTGTTACTCAGATGTCAGGCTTCTTTGCCCAGGCCTTTACTAGTGGGCCATTTTCATAATTTGTGAGTAGACAAGCAACAGTGAACAGTTGGTTGATTCTCCCAAAAGCACCTAGGGGAATTTCAGAGTCAAGTAACTTGTGCTCTTTGACTCGGCGAATGAGGCGCTCCACATGCACCCTGAGGCGTGCTATGGCCTGGGTCTCTCTAACTTCCACTGCAGACATCTGAGACCTACCAGAGAGAAATGCTGGCCTGTAAACTTTGCAGGGAACAATGTCATCAATAAGAAAGCCCCTGTCCACCATAACAGCCATCCCTGGTTTTAACAGCGTGATGAGACCAGATTCACGTGTGATCTGCTTGTCACTGATAGACCCGGCATACAGTCCAGAGATGAATGTCACTGCCCCATGAGGTGCAATCCCAATCAGCCCTTTCAGAGTGCAGTGGGATTTATAAGATGAAAACACCTCACTCTGGAGGAGAGGGGAAGATGGGCACTGACACCTCAGCTCAGTGCAGTCAAGGATGACTGTAGTGTCAGGGTAGTGTTTGAAGTCTGCCGGTAGATGTTTTCGTATATGTTCCTCCGGTATCCAGATCCTAATTGAACCTAAGACTGTAAATAAAAAGTTGCTCCATGTTGTGATGATCCTGCTGACAGTGGACTGATGGACACCGTACCGGTCAGCAAGATCACGTTGCTTGGATCCAAGGGCAAGGTAATTTAAAAACATGAAAAACTCATCGATGGGCTGCAAAGTACAAGTTGATGGAGTGGAGTCGAGGGCAGTTCCTCTCTGTCCTTGGCGAACACTGACCATGGATGGCAGAGAGGGCTCAATCATGCCCCAGAAATGCATCAGAAGGTCATATGATGCAAACCTGAAGAAAAAACATACCATAACAATTAGTGTCCATGTTAAACTACACAGCATACTTAAAAATAAATTCAACCCCAGGCACTGTGCTGTAATACTGTAATTAATTTAGAATAT